GGTCCCCTCCGCCAGTGACCTAGAAGGCGGAGAGCAAGCAGAGACCAGCGCCTCCTTAAACCAAGTGGACTACTCTCAATCCCTCCCCCTGGAGCTCGGGCGGGTAGTCCCCTGCACCAGCCTTGCCCAGCTCCTCCCTTCCTTCTCCGCTCAACTCCAACGTGTCCTTCCGGAGGCTCCGAGAGGTCCACCGGCCCACCTGCTTGGCCTACAGAGGAGTTGCCCTTACCTGTGCCCCGGTGGGTTGCGGGGTGATGGGCCCGGTGCGTCTATCTCTGTGATACCCTGGAAAGTCGGGGACCGGGAATCCTGATGGAGCTCAGCACCTCTTCCTATTGGGACTCTCACCTTGCACTCTGTCGGAGGCCACCTGGCTTCCAAGCCCAATTCAGGCACTCTGGGTCCTGAAGCGTGACCCACTTTAAATGTGACCTACTTTTTACAGAAAAACAAACAAACAAATAAATAACACATGGGAAAATCGGACTCAAAATTTCGATAACCATTTTTGTTTGAAATACTATTCTGTTGCATCACTGCTCAAAAGCTTGAAAGGTCAATGGCCACTTTTAGTTGAAGCTGTGACTGTGGGGAAGTTGGGCAAGGGAGGCCAAGAGGGTGGGGGAGGCGCGGTTCCCAAGCCTTGCCTGGTGCCCCGCCTGCCGGCCCTGGAAGGAAACACAACCAACCATCTCCAAGGCCGAGAGTCCTGGACCAATTTTTATCCTCAGTAATTTTTTTCTCTTAAGTAATTCTATACACGTGACAGAACGGTAAATGAGGGGACATAGCGCAGCTTCCAGGGGCTTTGTCATCGACAGATTCGTATGCATAGGGCTATGTTCTTGGAATCTTTGATAAGAAGGATGGAGCCCCTGAAGTTTTAAAAAGCATGAGCAAAGCAGTTGAGTAACCACACAGGGTGCTCACCAACTTCACACCCCTAACCTTTTCTGTGAAATTAAAAGCTAGATGCAAGTTGTTGGTGAAAGGTTAACATGGATGACCAAATCAGATCCCCCATGGAGTCTCAGTGTAGCTGGAGGCCCAAATTAAACTTTTAAAACCACTAAAATGTCTGGGGTTCACTAAGGCCAACATTTTCTGTATGGATGATTTTTTTTTCTTGGTAGAGAACCTCAGAGAAAGTGTGTGCCTATGCTTCTGCACTCCTAAAGTGTGTGTGTGTGTGTGTGTGTGTGTGTGTGTGTGTGTGTGTGTGTGGAAATTACAGTAATTCCTATTTAATTGTCAATTGGAATAAATAGTCCGGCTGTGTTACTTTACTGATTGCTATGACCTGGCTGAGGCAGTTTAGGGGAGGAAAGACTGATTTTGGCTCACAGTTTACAGGACACAGGCCTGGGAGCTGAAGGACTCCCTCCACAGGGGCAGGAGTTCCTGGCTCAGTCTGCTGGAGAAGAGAGCCAGGATACAGGAATAATTGGTTACTTCTACCACCCCAGGGCCCCACTCCAGCAACCGACTTCCTTACAGAAGCCCCACCTCCTAAGACAGAAGTTCTCAACCTTCCTAATGCCGCAGCCCTTTAATACAGTTCCTCATGTTGTAGTGAACACCCCCCCAACCATAAGGTTATTTTGTTGCTGCTTCATAACTGTAATTTTGATACTGTTGTGGATGCTTACTGTTACATAAGCATTTTTGGAGACAGAGAGCTGACAATGGGGTCATGGCCCAAAGGTTGAGAACCACTGTCCTAAAAGATTTACAACATTCCAAATTAATATCACTAGTTAGGAAGCTGTATTCATCCACATAAACCTTTAGGGGATATTTTTGCATTTTTGCCGTCTGGGTCTTTGCACAGACTGGTTTCCAGAATGTCTCTCCCTGATCCGGTGCAGGGAAGACTGCCATCGTTCACATCATAGCTCAGTCACCTCAACAAGGGGTGACTGACTGTCCACAAAGATCACACAGGCACACAGCTCACTGTCAGAACACCAAGCTATGTAGGATTTTTCAACTTCTGTTTCTAGAATATTTCATGCTCAGCATTTTTTAAGCCTCTTTAATCCTCTAGAAACACTGTTGAAACCATGTAGCAAATGTCTATGAGATCCTGGCAAACAAAAAGGGAAGAACAAAATTATGCAATTATGCAATTTGCGCGAAGGCAAAACCAGGAGGGAAAGTGGAGAAAGGAGAAGTAAGTATTTGGGGATAACAGAATAGGGCTGAATTTTACAGTCTGACATTCTTTCACCTAGTGTTTTTGATAGTCATTATTTTGTCAAAGTCACTTGTAAATCAGTGTCGCCAATTTCCCTGAAGTACAGACTATCTTATTGACCTTGAACTTCAGCATTGAAGGACATCTCTCCTGAGCTCTCACCCTGTCCCTCAGCATCACCTTTGGAGATGTCTAATAGGTATTTCCAACTGAATATCCCAGACTGAGCCCTGATGATCCCTCCCACTCAGGACAAAAACACACTGTTCCTTTGCACCGTCCCTGTCTCTCATGCCACCAATTCCAGTGTTTCATTCGCTCAGGTCAAAAGCCTCAGCGCATCACCCAACTGATTGCTTTCATACACACCTGTTGGCCAATCTTTCCATTCTGATTTCACAATAAACTTAGACTTGAAGTGCTTGCCACACTTCTGGTGCACACCAGGACAAACCGCCCAGGTCATTGTCATGTCTCTTAAGTGGCTTCCTTGCCCCTTTGCAGCCTCTTAACAGAGAATCAGGAGTAAATATGTTGAAACTGGGTCTTTTCATCTTTTCCTCTGGCCCAAGCCAAATGACTACATGGCACCCAAATAAAAGACTAAGTCCTATCATTTGCAAGGTCTTATTAGATCCATTCCCACTTGCCTTTTGTATCTTCTTTCCTGGAGCTTTGAGCCCCAGTCAGTCAGCTTCAGTCATACTGGACCCCTTGTCATTTAGAAAACACTCCATGCTCATGCTTGCCCCTTCTTCTGGTCTTGTTGTCTCCTCTTCTTGAGCTCTTTCATTTATCTGTGTGGATGCTCCCAATTTCTTTTGATCTTTATTTAATGTCCCTTTCTTATCAAGACTTGCCACCCAATTCAAAATTTTACATACACACATATACACACACACACACACACACACACACACACACACACCCCTCTTCTGGGCTCCAGTGTTGTCCCTAACACTGATCACTATCTATGGTGTTTTATTTCGGAAGGACAAGGGTCTTTTTGAGACAAGGTTTCACTGTGTAGCCCAAACTGGCTTTAAACTAAAAGGAATCCTCCTGCCTCAACTACAGGCATTACAGGTGTGAGCCACTTTACCCAACTTATGCTATGTTTTATGTACCTTTCCAACTTACTGTATTTCTTCTCTTCTAGAATGTGAACTTCAGTGTTCTTTTTTATAATTATTATTCCTTGCATTGTTCACAGCTATGACTGCTGTCTCAGCACCTCAACATGTAGGAGGCATTGGATGTCACTGATTAAGGAATGTAAGTAGGAATGAATGAATGAATGCATTGTCAACTTGACTTTAAGGTGTGACTTCCAGGTGTGAACCCTCAACCTGTTACATATGTGATCTTTGGAAAATTAACCTCTCACAAAGAGAATGATGGAGCCTGCCTCACAGGGATGTTATGCCTGGTGCCCCACTGAAGAAATATGCTGCCAACTGCTTGCCCCACAAGATGGTGTGACAGTTGAAATAATCCATGAAAAGAGCTTTGTGGCTTAGCATACTCTTTCTACAGAGTAGTTGTTACTTCACATATTTCTTATCCTTCTACCTTCAGAGAGTTTGGATTGTCCTCTGTGTGGATAAGATTGTCTTACTTTTGCCTACATGAAATGATCACCCACATTCTCACCACCAACTCCCATCTGTGGCTGCTCCAGAACTTCATAGAGTTTGATTCCCTGGAGTTCTGGTTCAACTTGAAAATTTATAGGGTGCTGCAGCTGGAAAATAGGACAGTGCTTAAGAGTACCGGCTGTAAAGGACTTAAGTTCAATTCTCAGCACCCACCTGGCAGCTCCCAACCATTTGTAACCCCAGTTCCAGGGGATCCAAAGCCTTCTTCTGGCCTCTGAGGTCATTAGGCATGAACACAATGCACAGACATGCACACAGGCAAAACACTCCACACATAAAAAAGAATACAATTTTAAAATAAATAAAATTTATAGGAGAGCAAAACATGATATCATTCTGTTACTGATGCTTAAGAACATGTCAGTTCAGTTGGGCAAGATACTGACTATGCCAAGATCCCTATTATAGTTCCACACAAGGGGATGGAAATGCTGTTCACAAAACTAAAGAGCTCCTTCCATTGCCTGCATTGAGGAATAGCCTGGACCTGAACACCCCTTCAAAGTACACCAAACTGGACATGTTTGTTCTGCAATGAGGATATGTTAATACTAGAATTGACAGGTTTCTATCAATTTACAGAAGTTGGGTGAACAATGGGTGATCTTTGGCAACTAAGTCTGATACGAGTTTCATGTACTTGTAGGCTGAAAATACACATTTAAGTGTCCACTACCCCCTCCTCTCCAAATCCCACATCTGTGCATTCTCCCTCTCATGTGTGGTGGTCAGAGATCTGATCACAGCTTCCAGTGCCCCTGGGTGGAACACCGAGGTGGCTGTCTGTCTTACTGTTATTCGTGAGTGTTCCCCATTAAAAATACTTGATATCCTTTTATTCGGGCTCTCATGGACTCCCTTAGCTCTGCCTACACCGTCCATTGTTCTAGAACACACGTTAGCCTGGTTTATCCACAGGAGTGACTCATGCCCTGGGACACAAGGCCTTGTCCAGTGTCACAACCCCCTCAGGCAACTAGATCCTTGTCTTCAAGACTGAGTATAAATGCTTCAGGAGAAACAGCAATGATGACCAAGAAGGTCAAACCATTTTAGGCCACATAAAAGAATGAAGACAACGGGGAAAGAAAACTGAGGCTTGAGGGACAGAAAGAGATTCCTGGGCCTTGGCATCCAACCCACATGAAGCTGTGCTTCCCCTTGGATTCTTGGGTAAGGGAGCTGATGACTTTATTTTTCCCTGACCTGGTTTGTTTGGGTTTCTGGAACTGTAAACCAAGGCAGTCTCATGCTGTGGCTGGGCTAAATATGGAGGGATTCAGAGGAGAGAGTGGAGGAGTCCTAAGAAGAGAAAGACAAGAGCTATTATCTCTGCTAAGAAGCATCTCCCACTTTTCATCAGGGGTTTCCTAATACCACATCCCTTTCATAATGGCCTACTTGTGCCATCCCCATAACAGAGGACTCACTGGAGGGCGAAGGAAGGGGAAGAAGATGGTACCACCGGACTCAGTGCCCTGAGCCAGGGTTGGGAGTCAGGAGAAGTGAAGTAGATAGAAGCCAGCCTTCAAACTTCTGAGACCTAAGAACATAGCAGGTGGCCATACCCTCAGATTTTCCCACAAAGGTGTTTATTGATGGGTGGAGGTTGTTGATGCTATTTAAATCAAAGCTTTCTCAGAAAGTCTTG